CAGCACCACAAATACATGTGCTGATTCATTCACCGCTTCTTCAAAAGCAAAGGTATCTCATATCATCAAGGTCAAAAGCAAAAGTATCTCATATCATGCTCTTTCCCTGTCCTTTTCTTTGTCCTTGTTATTACTTGCATGGCAAAGTGAAAGAAGCAATCAGCCGACACTTGGAGTCTATCTGGACTCTATTCCCTGGTTGCTTACCTAGCTTTGCCGAGCTATCCTCTAACCCTCTTCAATACGAATTGGAGAGATTAAACAAAGAAACAGATAAAAGGAGGAAGCTCAGACCTTCGGGGGAGACCAAAGGAAGCCTGCTACCCAGTTCAAGAGTAGCACAAAGGAAAATCAACGATGGGAGCAGCGCATTTCAAGAGTAAGCCTGTGGAATCACTCAAGATGGAGTCTCACTGCAATCACCAAGGAGAAGATGGAATTTACACTCCACAACCAGATTTGCATCTCTAAAACTCTTCTCTTTGATAGATACATTCTGCCATGTTTAGTATGTTTAGTTGTTGTTTTATATGTTTTCTTTTGTTTGGTGTGTTTTAAGCTTAAAACATTGAGGACAATGTTTGATTTAAGTGTGGGGGGGTAACTAAGTATGTTGATGCAAATTTGTTGGATTTTATCACCCATAACTTCAAGTATTGATCCTTGCTGTTTTAAAATGTTTTTAAACTGTTTTAATGTGTTTTGACTTAAAAATTCGAAAATCCCATAAAAATTTGAAAAATTGTTTTGAAAAACCCAAAAAGAGTTGTTTTTGTGTGTTTGTGTCGTAGGTTACCTTCCAACACAATAATGAGGATTTGGTTTTTAATTGCATGACGGTTAAAGAAAGTTACAAACATGGATGGACGTTTGATATACTCTTTGGTTTATGCTTGGTTGTAGTTATAGTTCACGAATTCACATGTAATCACAAAGAAAAAAAAATTAGTTTTTGTAACATGCTTGAAGGAATGAGCTCAAACTAACACTACATCCCTGTGAGACTTGAGCTTAAACGTTTATTTGGAGAGTTAAAATCTGTGCATTCTTTGTTTTCTAAAGTCGTTGCATGATCTCATTATTCTTTGCTTGGTTGCTACTTAGAAGGCGTTTCATCACTTAGTTCCAAATGCTAGAACTCATGCCCATTTCATTCAAAGCATGTCATTGATTTGCATAACACGTATTCAAGATGAAGTTGTGTAGTGAACACCATAGCCAAATTGCCATATTTCCCTTTTCATTTGTTTTATAGGATTTAACCCCGTTGAGCCTTGTGTAACCTACTTTCTTTGTTAACCCACATTATCCTCACCTAGCCTAGATTAGGACCATCCTTACCCTTGTTCTTGAAGCATAGTAAGCAATGAATTCCTTTTGATTAATGTGTTGCAGGAAATAAGTGTGGGGGAAAGAGTATTTATGTGAGTTTTTGTGCCATAGGCACGGTTAAAAAAAAAAAATGAAAAAGAGTTGAAAAGAAGTGAAAAAGAGTTCTAAAGTATTGGTTGTTGAAGTAAGGGCCCAAAACATTGAATTAGGCCCTAAGAGTTGTTTGAATCTTCCCCATTTGTCTAAAAATTGATTTCTGCATTCTAAGGGAATTCTAGGACTTAATTTCAATACTTTGCTTGCTATTGCTTAAAGAACTTTTGTTTATCCCTACCTTTCGTTGTTAGCCAATACCCCAAGCCCTGTTACAACCCTTGACTTCTATCTTGAGTGTTGTGCATTTCAATTGTGGAGTTTGAATTTGGTATGAGCATATGGTGTCACTGGTTCTCGCATCTAAGTAGTAGCATTCTATTCATGAGATCATATCTAAACATGCTTCTTAACTCTAGAAATTGCATTCGTTGTGAAACATATATGTGAGCATTCGTTTTCATATCTACATCAATCTTCTCACATATGACTAGTTTAGGGTGTGGAGTTAGAAAATCTGAGTGAAAATAGAGTGTATATCTTGTAAGGAATTGAGGGAATTCTCTAAGGCATGTTACTACATTCATAATATGTTTTAATTGATTAAATGCGAACTAGTGAATGGTGACTATGATTAAGTATGTGCTTAAGGGGAAGTAGGACTAAAAGCTATGTGAGTAATGATCTTTGACGTGTCATGTTTCATTAGAAATCCCTGAGGCAAACATTGGAAGGTTTAGGTTGTTTTGTATGTTTTGTTGCGTTTTGTTTACTGTAGTTGTTTTGTTTTGCTCGAGGACTAGCAAAAGTTAAGTGTGGGGGAATTTGATAGGAGCATATTCATGTGACTTAATTAGCTTGTTCTCGTGCATTTATGTTGTGTTTACTTATCTATTTTAGTGTTTAAGGCCACTTTTGTGTATTTTCAGATTAAAAGGCCGAAGTGTGCAAGAAGATGCAAATTGGAGCCTTTTGGAGCGAAAGAGGAATGAATGAGTTGAAGACGTGAAGAAACGATGAATTCCTACCAAAACGAGGAATCCTACTCAAACAAGGTTTCCTATTTTAGGAAAGTTGACCCTAAGTTTCCCGTTTTGGTAACCTATCCTAATCTTAAACGTCCATATTTTCTAGCCACTTTGTAACCCTTTGCCTAGCCCTATTTCCCTTCCTAGCCGCACCTTTATATTTATATTTTAATTTCCTATTTTCGTAAGCCTTTGATTTATTTTTAAATAAGCTAGGGTTAGTTTTCTGAAACCCTACACATTTTTACTTCCTAGCCGCACCTATTATTCAACTATCTTCCATTTTTCTATCATCCGTAGCCACAACCATAATTCCCACTTAACCATCGCATCATCCATTATCCCATCCACCATCCACATTAAGCCATCCACTTCCCATGTTTAATTGTCCATTCCCATTATCCAATTCAAAACCGTGCATTGCCATAATCATTCCCATCATCCGCACTATATCCCATTTTTTATTGTGCATTACCATTAAGCCATGCACTAACCTATAACAAATAAGCCATTATCCTTTCCTTTGGCCTTTAGCTATCCCACCATATCCCACAATTCTCCCATTAATCCGCATTACCTTTTTCCCTTCCACCATCCCTTAAACAATTATCCAATTCCCATCCGTAGCAACCATATGATAGAATTCTGATCTTCCACATATTTTCCCCCCCCCTAAGCCGCAACACCACACTTCCACAATCCATTTCAAAACCTCCCGTAGCCTTACCATCCAAACTCCCTGCGATTCTAACCATTTTCCACTTAAAAAAAAATCCAACCTTCCACACCATTACAAACCACCCAACCTCCATAAATCCATCCCTAAACCCGCAAATCATCCACCAACACCATTTAATCAATCTGCCGCAGAAGGAGAAGAGGAAAGAGGAGCTTCGACGCGCACCAATTCACGTGGATTCGTTGGGCGTTCTAGGTGTAATCAATCCTTTGTGCTTTATGTTTAAATTCATTTGTAATTCTCTTTTTGTGAACATGAGAGGCTAAATCCCCCTAGTTAGCTAGGGGGTGATTCGAAACCATGATTATACTTGCAATATGAATTGATTACTTTTGGTTGGGATTTCATGAATGTTGGATTCAATTTGTTTAACCGTTTGATTGATAACTTATTTATGAATGTTTATTAAGAATGCGCGCTTAATTTTCATGCATAAATATGACGCTAGAATATAAGTGAATTTCACCTAATCGTTATGAACTTATATTCACAAGTAGTGGAGGTTGCTTATAAACAATCGCGTTAAATGAATTCTTGGCACGAGTATCATGCTTTTCATAGTTACAAATGCCTTGTCGATGCTTATAATTTCCAAAGAACGTAATGATTCTAACTTGTATCTTTATCATGCTGTTCATATAGAGAACTTGTTAGGAATAATTTGTTTGCGATGCATATTCATCCAATTCAATGATTCTAGGGAAATTTGAAGGTTAATTTAAGCGGACCTAATTAACTTGGAGTGTCGAGTTTCATAATTTATCGAAAGACCAACTGAGAATCAATTTTGTATGCAAGTATAACATGTGTGGAGATGAACCCCTTGGCTATTCCATCATCCATATTTTCATCTCATTCATATTTACGTTTTGCTTTTAATTACAATTTGTCCATTTAATTTAATATCGTCCAAACACAATCCCCCCTTTACTTTATTGTCAAATTAGTTAGAAATCAATTTAGTTTGTGTTTTTAAAGAATTTTGAATTTAGTTTAGTGTTTTATATTGTTTTTACGTTTTTGAGTCAAAAATCCAAGTGATTAACAATCCCTCCTAATCCCCGGTCCAGAACGATCCCTACTTATACTTATACTACAATTGACAAAAAGAGGGTTTAATTTGTGTGTCAAGTAATTCTCGCATCACCTATCAGTATCCTGAAGTATACTTGCTTGATCTTAATGTACTCTTTTTTCCTATAATTAGGAGCATTTTTCCCACTAGGTTTTTGCTACCTAACTAGGTTTTAATGAGGCACCCACCTTGGGCCGATCATATCTCTAATGACGTCCCGTAGACGTTTCATTTGACTTTGCATTTCTCATGCATTTTTCCTTAGACTATGGATTTTGTCCCTACTCAAGTTTTTGCCATAACCATAGGTTTTTTTAGTGAGACATACTTCCTTATGCAAGTTCCTAATTGAGAATAGCTTGTTCCTAGAATCGGTGCCGACGAGTCATACATGATGCCAAATCTACCTCGAATATTTACATACTCAAGGGGAGTGTTGTAAACTTTCCTAGTTTAAGTGTGATTGTGTAAATTCTAAATTAGATTTAATTCTAATTATTCTTTTCTAAATGGACTTGTATTCCTTGGAGATGAATGATTTCTTTTTCCTCTTATTACTATAAATAAAGGCACTACGTAAGAAGAATAACACATACATTCCTCTAAACAATTCTACAAATACATCTTTCTTCTCTCTTTGCTGTCAGCCCTCTTTCCCTTGTTAAATAAAATTGGCCATAACAAAGGAGATATTCTTACCGAAGCAAGTCAATGCCCCAAAAGATAGAAAACCCTCAAGGACTAGAACTTCCAAAAGACAAAGCCCCTCCAATAAAGCAACCCCACTTCCTCTTTTCTTTCTTTCTCGAACTGAAGTCTCGAACCTCAACTCCAGCTAGCCACGACCACCCTCTCCAGCCTCCCTCCACCACACCGATTGGCTCCAAGCTTCCGGTAACCTTTTCTTTTTGTTGTTATTTTTTTAAATGGATTTTGTTTTGGGTTCTGAGAATTCTTACATACAAAAAGAATTAGAAAAACTCAGATTGTAATTTTGGGTTCAAAGCTGTTTTTAATTTGGTCCACAATGTTATTTTTCTTAATAGGAATTGAATGAATCGAGGTCTGAGCTACTTGGTAGAATTCAAGGGTTGAAGCAGGTGAAACAATTGACAACGACTTTATCTCATCTGATCATAGAATGGTGCTTGTGCTTAATTTGCTTGTTTGCTGATCTCGGTAATTAGGATTTGCAAAGTTGGAGATCAAAGTTAGACACTCAAGTGAAAGTCTACCGCACAGCAAGTGTTTATATAAATTTTTTTTATACATTTGGAAAAGCATGCATTTGGATTCAGTTTATAGATAATCTTGGTGGGATGATTTGTTCTTGCTAATGTATGTGTGGTTAATGTATGCTTTGGGTCCCTGTTCTTTGGAAAGTAAGATGATTTAGTTGGAGGGCTAGTTCAATTGAGGTCTGTCTTTGATCACCGCATCAAAGTTTACCAAAAATTATGTTAGTTGATGTTTGTGTTGTGTTTAGGCGTGCATGGAGAGGGAGGGTGAATTCGTGTGTTTCAACTTTTAATTTGTTTAGAACACTTACAAGTTACATCAACAAACCATTTCCTTTGTTCATATTCTGAAACCTGGACAAAACCACAACTATTGTTGTTTAATTAAGCCAGGCTGCAGCCTGCAAGTGCAAGGTATTTTTAATTGAATTGTGAATTTGAATGTAAATTTGAATTGGATTGTGATTTGTGGATATGTTAATTGGATTTTGAAATTGAATTGGACATGTGAATTTGAAATGGATATAGATAGGCAAAATCGAATTGGATATGTGAAAGTGAAATTGAAACTGAAATGGATTTGTGAATTTGAAATTGATATGGTATGAAATTGGTATGAGAAAGATTTACAGTTTTTTTTTTTTCCTTTCTTGAAGCAATGGATGCTACAGAGCAAGATTTTATGAACCTTAGTGATAGAGTGTCAGTAAAAGTTAAAATGGGAAAACAACCTGATCTTGGAAGTGAAAACTCAGAAGATACAAATACAAGTTCCACAAAGAAAAAGCTTAGAGTGATCAAAGTAGGTAAGTGACCACTCAGGTCTCCTATTTGGAAAACTTTCAATAAATTGACTACTATTTTTGAAGATGGTAAAAGTTGTGCTCAATGTAAATTGACTACTCTTCCTCCTCATCATCAGCAACAATCCAAGCATCCCAAGCAATCCAATCCAACATGGCACAAGAGAACTCATCAGCGTCTGATGATCTTCATCTGAATGTAGATGATTTCTACTTTTCCGCACTCTTTGATGATGAAACTTATGACGAGTCTGAGCCAGTTTCAGATTCCAAGTACGCACAAGAGTTGCAGTTCCAAGAGGCTCTAATGTCCTCTTCTGCAATCACCTCCCAATCAACGCACAATGATGGTTCCTCTTCCTCTTCATCATCAGCAACAATCCAAGCAACCCAATCAATCCAATCCAACCCAATCCATGAAATCCTATTCCCAATTCAGGACACGCAAGAGTCTGGTGAATCGTCGTCACCACAACCATCAACACAAATCCTTTGTGGGATTTGTTTTGAAATGAAAGAGGCTGACGAGATGTTTCGAAACGAGGGATGCGTTCACTCCTTCTGCTCTGACTGCATAACCAAGCATGTAGCATCCAAAATCCAAGCAAACATTCACGTAGTTTCGTGTCCCAGCTTGGACTGCAGGGCTGTGCTGGAACTTGATGCCTGTATGCCAATGCTTCCCAAAGAAGTCATAGAAAGGTGGAATGATGCCCTTTGTGAAGCTATGGTTTTAGGGGCACAAAGACTCTACTGTCCATTCAGTGACTGCTCAACGGTTTTGATGATCGACATCGAAGGTGAGGAGGCTATAAGAGAGTCGGAGTGTCCCATTTGCCATAGACTGTTCTGTGCACGATGTCAAATCCCTTGGCATCCAGGAGTTGATTGTGAGGAGTTTCAGAGGCTTAACGAGAGCGAGCGAGGGAGGGCGGATCTTATGGTTAGGGAACTTGCAAAGCAGAAGAAGTGGAAGCGGTGCCCTAGGTGCAAATATTATGTGGAGAAGACTCAAGGTTGTTTGCATATTACTTGCAGGTCAGTTTGCTTAATTTGGTATTATCTGCACAAAGTATATTAGGCATAGGCAATTGTTGTTTATTTAGGGCATTTTATCTTTAATTGACATAAAAATTTCATCAATAATTCTCTTTATCATCACAATTATGGTATATCTTGTTGAGATTATTATCTAACACAATATAATAGTATCAGAGCAGATTAGCCACAAGTTAAACTTGGTAGCGACACATTTTCTTATATTTGGTTTGAGTGACTCCACATATGATGAGGCATGTCGATAGTGTAGTACTCTACATCGGCAATGGAAGCCTTGCCATTAGTAGTTTTAAAATTCTCAGTCGTCTCCACAAATTGCCAATTAGTTATCAGCTGGATGCACGTTCTAACACACAAGTACTTTTATCCTTAAGAGGATTTAGATGATGAATGCTTTTAGTGATGGAATAAGTTTAATGGGTTAAACAGCTAATTAGTTTTGGCTGATGATATTGAAATACTTTATTTAATTGTGATTAATATAAGGTTTAATGATTTTTGATAGATTACTTGGTGGGAGTTGTGTTTACTGTATATTGTATTTGCAGGTGCCAATACCACTTCTGCTATAGATGTGGAGCAGAATGGACAAGTACTCATGGTGGTTGCCAGTGAGATTAAGTTGCAGAAGGCACTTGGATTGAAGGCGTGTTACTTGTTTTATGATCTAGAACTTTAATTTATATACAGAATCATCAAAAGTGCAGCAATACGAGGGGACTTTTGCTAGTAGATTTGTAACATTGCCTTGAATTCCCTTATTAATGTTATGGAGTTTTCTCTTTTCTTTTGTTTTCTTCTTTAAAAGTTGGGTGACATCTTTGACCAAGTTTCACAAAACCCCGTCTCCAAAATTTTCCTGGAAAGAGGGCAAAATAAAAAGAAATCTGAAAAAAAAAATTCCGGAAAGAGGAGCTGAAAGAAAAAAGACTACCCTTTGATGTCATCTGAAGAATAAGAAAGAAGAGTCTCTGCTAATGATTGGGAAACAGTGGTTAAAATTGGAAGTGAGTATTTCGAAATCCCGGTCGCAACTCTTCATGGTCTATTGGTGTTCTGTTGAGGTTGTATTTTACTAGAAGTATGATTATAAAAGAAAATTTTAAGATTTGGCCGCATAACTGCGTTAATGTGGTTCCTTTTGGTTCGTATGAAGTTTTCAATCCTCTGTTTCTCTTTGGTTTTTGGATCATTTTTCCTCTCAATTCAGAGTTTAATTGAGCTAATCAAAGGAAGATTAGAAGTATGATTACAAGAAGAACCTCTTAAGAGTTGGTTTGGGATTGTAATGCTTTTAAAAAAAAACACTAAATGTGTTTGGTAAAACAAAATAAAAATGTTTCTTTTAAAAAAAAAAAAAACTGTTATAAATGAAAGTAGAAAAGCATGGTTTACCATGCTTCTAAAAAAATGTATTTTTATTCAATGTTCATTTAATGACGATTTCAAATAGCAAGTATACCCCACATGTTATACAAAATTACAATCTTTGCTCCTACATTGTTGTCTTTGAAAATTATTATAACACATTAAATGTCATATCCTTTTTAGTCATTTAACATATTCAAAGCAATTTATATAAAAGTTTACCAAACACTCAGACACCGCTTTTTTTTTTATTATTAAAAGCACTTTTACAAAAAAATTTACCAAACACTCAACAACTTTATTTTACAGCTGTTTATTCTCACAGCACAACATAATCAGTTTTTTATTAAAAGCACAACAATACCAAACTAGCCCTAAAATTATGGATTTGGCTTGCATCAAGAATTTAACAGAATTGGGGTACTTCGAAGGGATTCTTGAGTACAATCGGGTTATATCCTCTTATTAAAATCATGTGACATGTAATAAGAGAGACGCTAATAGAGTGATATATACGCAATTAATTTCGTTAGATTCTCTATAATATTTCAGTAGCTACAACTTTTTATCTCTTACTGAATCAACTGTATTACTTTTGTCCCAAGTAATTGAACCTAAAATCTTGATGCAGAAATTAAATAAATAAAAACAAGGGTCTAATGCTCATAAGTAGTCCTCCAAGTCAAACCTACAGTCTCAATGCGTGCATGAGATGAATATACTATATCAAAAATTAATATGCATGGTGAATCAGTGATGCGTCTCGCTCATCGGCGGACGGCACACTGAGGATTGTCTCACCCAATGGGAAGCTGTAATCACTGCCAGTATATGCAGTTGTTCTGCATTCTTTACCTTTCCAACTATGATCAGCCGGAGGAAGAAGAAAAATTTACTGATATGTGGGTGTCTATTTTTCAAGTATGTGCGTGCCACACTGGAACTGGATGCCTTCTGTACACTGTTCTAAAAATTTCCGTCTAGCACCGCCTAGGTCCAATTTAGATGTAAGGCGGCTGATCACCACCCTGATTAATTCTTAGGCATTGAAAATTAAGAAAATGTGTCTAGACCTGCTTAGGCACCTGCCTAAACTCTACCTGGCTGCCTAAGCGCTAGGCTCCAAACCCCCACTTGACTAGCGGCTAACGTCTTTTAGAAGTTTGCTTCTGTATAGATTATTGGTGACCTGCGGGAGAAGGGTTTGCTTTGATGAATCCACACGCTTTCTTCCAGCTACAATTTCAAAAAGAAGACAACAAAGCAATTTCCCAAATGAGGTATTTTCTTTTTCAGATTAACATATCATTTTATCTATTCCTTTTTACTTTGCTAAATCTTCACTTGAAGCTATATTTATCAAAATGCCATTTATTAAGGAGGAAAAAACACTTGAAGCTATATTTCATTTTCATCTTTTCCTTTTTACTTTGTTACATTATTTGTATTCCTCACATCCGTCTATTAAATCTTTAACTTTCAAATTCTAAATATTTAAATCTTCATCTATAATTATTGATATTGTGTTGGCATGTTAATATGGACGGCAATCCAAACATTGACATTCTATATGTTGTTACAGCAGTGCTCTCCTAAGGTCCTCTTTTTGAGGACCTGTAAGGACCTCTTTTATATTAGTCATAGGATTAATCTATACTAAAACAAAATCAAAACACCAAAATAAATAAAAATAGGGTTCATGCTCAAATTTTCGATGTTGAAGGAGATCAATGCGACCCGATTTCACAGTGCTCTCGGAAAATTAAAATTCACTTCGAAACTACGAAAAGGTATTTCCTTTGTGGTTATATTGATTTCAATTTCTCCCAATTTCTCCCTCCCCGCTGTTGAAAAAAAAGTAGAATGAAAACTGTAATTTAATAGAGAGCACCATTCTTCTTTTAATTGGGTTTCATCTAATGCTCTCCTAATAGCACCATTCTATTTTATATTCCTTTGTGGTGATGGTCCTCGACTCCATTCTTCCTTTTTTTCTTTTTTCTTTTTTTTTTTAGCTTCACTTTTAATTCTAATTACAGATTGTTGTATAATGGAAGAACAATCTTCCCTGGGACGATCTCGAATTGTTAGCGATGATCTTTAAGTGTGGGAGCGTAGCAGTAGAGAGGGAGGGTCGGGACGACGTCCTTGACAAAAGATTTCCTCTGAGATTGAATGGTTTGCAATTTTGCTCCTCTCTTGCAAAGCAGGAAGGAATGATGAGCGTGAAGCCTATTAGCGTGTTTTGATTTTGTTTAGGTGTAATAGGTTTATATAAACTTATAAAATTTTTTACCGTAAGATTAATCATATGACTCATATAAAAAAGATCATCACATGCCCTCAAAAAAAGGAACTTGGGAGAGCATTGCTGATATTGTTAATATATATATTTTTGGCACGTGTGTTGGGTCTCGTCCCACTCCACAAGCAGCGAAGCAAAAGTCAATGGTCAATAGATGGAGTTTGACAGACTGAGGTAATATACTAATATTTAAATAAAATAGAATTTTTACTATTTTTACCCGTTTTCTTAAAATGCTCATAAAGTTTACTAGCCTTGTCAATCTCTGTTGGAGAAAAAAAAATAAAAAATTACGTCCCTATTGCCCTTTATTTACAGTAAACGACAAAATATGGACACCCACTTTTGACAAATGCATAACGAACTACCATTGCCATTTATTGTGAAATTGAAAATATGTGTGCAGTGGAATATGAAGTAAATAAAAAACAATACTTATAAGGTTCGGCAAACATAACACACTCCGATCCGGAATGTTCACTAGGACTCCTAATCGAGTTGTGCTGGCCGACATCAGGAAGGTGACGAAGTCATAAAGTGTGATGATGTGGAAAAATGTGAATAAATTTAAACTTAAGAGTGCCTAAATACCAGAGTACACTAGTGAGTAGGAATGACCTCATTTCACACGTGACATTAGAGCATAAGTAAGTACAGTGGAGTGGATAAGAATTATACCCTCAAAAGTAACCACCTATCCTGAGATTTGCCAAGAATCCTCGTCGATACGAACTTTCAACAATTAAAACCTGGAGGGGCGCAAAACAGAAAGTGTGAGTAGGCAAAAACAAAGCTTTTTAAAAACCATTATCAAAGGTAGTAATCTCTCGCCGTAAAACTTATATAATTTCCCAGAAAATAGAATATATACATATATCGAAACCATACTCAAATTAGCAAAATCCACATATATGCCATGTCAAATATCTCAGCATAAAATATGTAAGCCAGGTGATATCAATCAATGCAAATGATATGTCAGCCGGAGTCACCTAACGTGACCTGTATGGCTCAAATCCACATCTCAACAAATATACCTACACACAAGTCGAAACCACCTAAAGTGATTTGTACGATAGGGCTGGTTGTAAATAAATACGCTCAAGTGCTACGATCACATGAAGACTGTGTGAATGATCGCAAGTCACCTACGAGTCGGAACCACCTATAGTGGTCTATACGACAGGACTGTGTACCTAACTTGGATCCAAGATGAGCATATGGTGCGAGAGGTGAACATCACGTGAAGGATTGTGCCCTAACCACGGGCGGGAGCACTAACACCGGGGTGCAGGTTTATGAGCTCTCAACACATCTCACATAATCATCAATTTACATAAACAATCTACAACTTACCTGGTACTTACATGAGTGTCCACAGCGTCAAATCACATTTATGCATACTATACTAACTCATAATCTACGTATAAATCATGAGGCATGGCATTTCAAAACATAATTCCATTTAAACGCATTTTTTGGGAAAAATACCAAGCATACATATATATACTGAAAACAAAAGCCCACTCACCTAGAGTTCACGCTACAACTTCCTAGCACAACCATAGAGGCGTCACGAACGATTTGCGCCTTGAACAATTATCAAATCACAACTCAGAATTCTTATCAATAAAATATGTAACTTACATAACACACATCCATACGTAGTTAGATTCGGAAGATCCGCATTATACTTCACCTAGAGTTCACGCTACAACTTCCTAGCACAACCATAGAGGCGTCACGAACGATTTGCGCCTAGAACAATTATCAAATCACAACTCAGAATTCTTATCAATAAAATATGTAACTTACATAACACACATCCATACGTAGTTAGATTTGGAAGATCCGCATTATACTTCTAGAACAACATCCTAAAGTTCCATTATGATCCAATAGTTGGATCTCCGCCAATTGCCAAAACCAAGTGGCGGTTAACATTTTATTTTATGAACTTACAAATCCAATTCAGGAAGATCCGTATATCGGATTCCCTATCCGTAAGTTCCTATGGTCCTCAAGTAATATGTACTATAACGTATTAAAGTTTGGTGACGATCCAACGGTCAGATCGTTGATTCACATCTTTACCAAGTAACGTATCTTAATGA